AGGCTTTTCTCAAGTCCAAGGGGTTGTGTATTTGAGAGAGGAGGAAGCAAGACAGCAAAGTGAGAGGCAAAGTAGCTGGAAACTAGTGAGTCAAGTAGAAGAGAGAGTTCTCAAGTGTATCAAGGTGTTGAGCAAGGGTGTGAGAGAGATTGTGAGGGTAGTGTTCTAAGGGGGTTTTCAGTTGTAAACCAAAGTTGTAACCTATCTTCATTAGTGAAATTTCTCAAGGGGATCACCAAGAGGATGTAGGCAAAATTTGCTGAACCTCTATAAACACTTGTGTCATTGGTGCTTGGTTATTTTCTGTGTGTGTGTGTAAGACTCATCCATCATTGAGTCTTGTCCAAAGTCCATCAACAACAAGGTCTGAAGGGGAGTGAATTGGTTTTAATTCACAACAAAGTCTACGTATAAAACATCCAAAATCTGCGATAGACAGCAAATGTTAATCACTCACTCACAATAATCTCTCAATAGAACCAAGAGCGTACACCCGACCTCGATTCCCTACTCCCCTAATATCGCTTGTATCAAAATAAAAATCACATAAAAATAAAGATTTTTAAAATATCAGGACTTCAATAAAAATGTGCCTTAAATTGAAAAACAAAAAGACCCGTGTTAAATCAGTTTAAGCGTTTAGGCCTATCTACCATTCGTCCAACTAAAACCGCATTCGCGTGGCCCTCCTGGCAGTATTGATCCAGCAGCTGCTGTTGCATTAGGCCAGACTATAATGAGTGGAAAGTTATAAGTGGTAAGTTATAAGGGGTTCACTTTATAGCCATCAGATCAATCCAAAGGCTAGGGAGAATTGAGATAAAGTTTTGCAATCGGGTATGTGAGGAACCCAAACCCGAATTTAATATCCAGCATTGAAGTTGGTCCCAAAAAAAAAAAAAAAAGAGGCAAGTTCGAAGTTTGAACAGAAAAAACCCATCACTCTAAAACCCATAGCTTGAGAAACTGCTAGGCTCTGAGAAAAGGTTGAAGGCAACGGTTAACGACGGTTGAAGGCAACGGTTGAACGCAACGCAACTCCATTCTCTAAACCCTGAAAAAGTATTTATTTTGAGTGGAAGGGACAAAGGCGTGGATTCCGAAACAGTGAAGTGGCGAAGCAGTGGAAGGGGACGTATTTGTTGGAAGTGAAAGGTTCCATTTGTGGAGCAAAGCCGCACAAAGACCCCGCACAGACACCTTGCGATTGTTCAATAACCAGCATTTGGTGAGTAATTTATGGAATTTGAGTTTAGGGTTAGAGTAAAGGTTTTCCCCAATTTGTACCATCAATGTTGTTGGATTTGGCATCTCTTCCTTGTGCTTCACTTGCATGTTAATTTTTGCTTGTGTATATGTTAAAAAATGAATGAAAATCAAGTCAACAACATGTTAATAACATGTCAATAACATATCAATAATGATATGAATAAGATAATGGTGTTGAATTGGAGGAGACCCTCAAGTCAATAACATGTCAATAACATATCTCTGGCGCTAGAATATATATATTTTTTGAAATAAATATTATTTCCCTTGTTGCTAAATTTGCCTGTGAAAAATGAGAAGATATAATAATAAAGTCATGAATAAAAGTGCAAAGCATTTGAAATGAAGGTTGATCCATGATCATAGTAGCTCACTGAAGAAAAAGCTAGAAAGAAAGAAGGATGTGGCAATGGCTTAGCAAGCAGATAGCAGAGCAGATGCTTTGCTTTGCTTCCTTCCACTATCTTTCTTATTTATTTATTTATTTTGTGTTGTGTATGAGATGACAATAATTGTCATGTGTGTGAAGTGCAGAACTTGCCTAGATTGCACTCACACTCACTCATGCATCAACCATTGATTGGAGTTTGTATCCAAAAATAAAACACATGCTATTGGTTGTAATTCACAGAATCATTGCATTAACAGGTATTTGCACAAAATTTGTCATATTGCTTTGATGATGTTAAAGGCTGTGATCAGTAATCCCTATGCGCATGTACTTCATAAAATTTGTAATGTGCCTGGTTGACTAGTTATGTAAATACTAAATACCAATATGATTGTGCAAATACGTGGTGGTAGTATATGTGTTAACATTATTTCATCTTGTATTTTAGGAAATGGGATCCAACGTGCAGCTGGTATGGCCAGAGTCAGAGACATATGCGTCACGGGTGAACAACTGCTCACATGCAAATTCAACCCTAACTGCAATTCGAGCGAAGTTGAGTGCGGAACAATTAGAACAATTCAAGACATCATGCTTTGGCCATCTTCTGAATATAGACAAGATTCAGTTTAGCGGGCAAATTGTGCATGGAGTTGTGTTGCGTCGAGTCGCGGGGCAGGGTGTGAAAGACTTGGATGGACTGAGTTTCTTAATAGGGTGCGACGTTGCTCAGTTTACTCGTCAAGATTTCTGTTTGATCTCGGGGCTTCGTTTTGAGGAAGTGCCTGAAGTTTCCAGTGGAGAAAGTGCTGAAATTAGACTTCAGAAAAGATATTTTATAGACGAAGGAATTACATGCAATGCTTTAGAAGAAGCATTTATGAGGTGCAAAGAGAGAGATGACGTCTACAAGCTAGCTCTTGTTTACTTTGCTGAGTTAGTGGTTTTGGGAAGGGACAAGCATTTGAACATCAATGTAAATTACCTGACCCTTGTAGAGGACTTGGATGCGTTCAACAGGTATCCGTGGGGTTCGGTGTCGTTTGACAAAACCCAAGACAGTCTATTTTCTGCACCAACAAAGTATATGAAAAGCTTTGAAAATGAAGAGGGAAGAGAGAAGGGGAAAAGTAAGGTAACGGGAACAAGCCGGAAAAATGAGAAGGGCAAGAAGCATAAGCATGGTGAAGTGCAAAGGGGTGGGTGGAGTTTTAAAGGTTTCACGTATGCTTTCCAGGTACATGGTAATAATGTTCATGTCAGTTATGCTTTGTGAACTTTAAAACTTAAATAATGACTTTTGTCCTGTGAATTGTGTAGATTTGGGTATATGAATTAATTCCTAGAATGGTGGACCTGAATTACTGCAAGGTTGTTGATCCAACAGCTGTCCCGCGTATTTTGCGATGGAGAACGACTACGTCTATGCCCGAGATGAGGAAGTTGAACAATTATTTTTTCCAGAGCAAAGAGGTTTGGTTTGCAGCCCTTGAAACTATTTATAAGATTCAATGAAATTATTAAGTAGAATGATTGAATATGAATATTGTCTGTATTCTGAAACAGTCAGTTCAGTTGCGGGCGCTACGTCCGAGTGAAGAGCAAATGAGACAATCATATTGGAGTTGGCCACAGGATCGCCCTGCTGTTGTCTCGGCAGAGTCAAATCCTTCTTCATGTGCTGATCTTGATGAGTTGAACAAGCTGGTAAGCTTGTTGAGGTCCGAGTTGTTTCAAGTAAAGCGGGAAAATGACGTCCTTGAGTTAAAGGTCATACGGATGGAAAAAACTTTTGGACCACTGTTTAGGTCCTCAGTTTGAGCAAGAAGTAAGGAGGGACCTAGCTTTATTGAAAGAGAGGACGAATCGTTGTGCCATCTCACATATATTTACGGGATCTGACGAAATGGATGATAGTGAATGGGATGAAGGGCCAAGTAACAGATATGAGGGAGAGGAAAAGGACGAGGAGGGAATTGAAGGGGGTGAAGTGCAAAGAAAACCAAGTGAGGTAGAGGAAGCGCAAAGGAAAAGAAAAGAGGGAGAGCAAGTGAAAATAAAAAGCAGCAAGGGAGAGGAAGCGCAAAGAAAGAGCAGTGAGGGAGAGGAAGTGAAAAGAAAAAACAGTGAGGGAGAGGAACTGCAAAGAAAAAGCAGTGACGGAGGGGAACTGCAAAGAAAAAGCAGTGATGGAGAGGATCCGCAAAGAAAAAGAAGGGAGGGCAAGGAAGTGAAAAGTAAAAAAAGTGAGGAAAAGGAAGTGCAAATAAAGGAATGTGAGGAAGCGGATGATGAAGTTGTTTTGGTTTGTGATGACATTGGTGAGAGCACGGCGGGGACAACTGTTGAGTTTAATCTCGGGGATATTGATTTGGATCAACCTACAGCTGTGCTATCTGAGTTGAACGTTTGGTTGAATGATAAAGGTAAAGCTGTGGAACAAGGGGTCCAATTACGAAAGAGAAAGAGGATTATTCCTATGTGGAAGATCATTGAAGCTAGTGAATTGGTGAAAAAACCTGTGCCAGAGACAGCCCGACTTTGGATGTTAGACCCAATGAAGGCGATTCCGCATGATGATATGGTGAAATTGCTGAAACTTTGTTGGGAATGGCGCCTTAACCCAAAGTAAGTCCCTTGTTTTTTGAGATAGAAGGCATTAGTGTATATATTTTTAAATTGTTGTGATCTAAAACTTTGTTATATTCACAGTTTAGTGATGCAATTTGGCCACGTCGAAGCTGAGATTGAATTCTTCGCTTCCCTCGTAAAAGCTGACGGTTGGCTGACAGGAGATGTAAGTTTAATTGATTATGCATTTGTTTTAATGTACATAGATTATGAGATTGACCAGAAAAACATGTGCAGCACATTGATTTGGGGTTGTATCTCATCCGGAAGCGACAACAAGATTTGGAGGTTGTAGAAATATCGAACTGGACAACGACCGATGTATTTTTCATGGTATGTCATAGGGCTTGACCAAGTGCAGTTAATAATTACAAATTATCCATACTTGCTTTGTGGAGATGTTTAACCATTGATTGTTTTCTATTTCACAGAATCACATCCATACTTGCTTTGCGGATAATAAAAGAAAAAAAGAGCAGGCTGGGTGGAAAATTAGAAACAGTTTAGTGAACGTTGTAAATGGCAAGGTTCCGGCGTGTGGGGTGGATTGGCAGAACGTGTATAAGGTGTATGCCCCTTGTATGTTGACGAAGCATAAGAATTGGGTGGCTCTAATGATTGATCTGGTTAAGTGTGAAATCAAAGTGTACGATTCAATGGTTTCAGTTATTCCAGATGAGATGTTAAAGGAAGAACTCGCCCCGCTTTCAATTACGATTCCAAATCTTCTCAACTCCATCGACTTTTATGAAGAAGGTGTTTACACAAACGACTGCAGCAGAGATTGGTGGTGTCCATGGCCAATAGAACGTGTGGATGTTCCACAACAATCTAATCAGTGAGCACAACTTTTTCTTTAATTTTATTACTTGAAATTGTCAATTACGTTACAATGTCATTACTTGAATTGATCGAGTTCTTGATTTGCTTCAGAGGCGATTGTGGCATGTTTGTGTTGAAGTACATTGAGCTTTTGAGCGCTGAGATTCCGTTAGCTACTTGCACCGCGCAGAACATGCCCTTTTTCCGGTTGAAGTTGGCTGCAGAGATATTACGGGGAGATGCTTACATGCCATGATAGTGGTTGAAATGAGTTCAGGTACGTGATGATTAAATTGGTTTTGGAAATCTCCAATTTGAAACTCATGTAAATACACAATACAGATCCACGGCTCCTTTTTGAATTCTACCTCTGCTCCTCAATTCTTCTTCGTCTTTCTCAATCTTAGTGTATTTTTGTACATAATTTTAAGTTTAAGTTATTGGACAACAATTAGAACCAAAATATTATTATAGCGGATGCATGCTTTCATTTTGATTAGTGTGATACTACGCTACATTTATTCTCATATTAGGCTAAATGTATATAGTAGCTGGATGCAGAGCATAGACAGAAAAATGAAGAATCTGAAATGGAGATGCAGAGGCTTAGTGAGGAGAAAAGTAAATGGATCTGTAAATCTAGTGCACGTGGGCAAATGTAAATGGATAGGCATATGCGTTTTTGAAGTTAGGCACATACCATTCCCATACATAGCCCTAACTCCTTCACGACATTTACATAACCTTAACCAAACTGCATTGAATTGGGATTGGAAGACTGCATATGTGAACAATGACTGATGGCTTTTTAAAGTGTATTACATTATTGCAAAGTAATATGTCATGATTTATCCAAGCCACCATTCCAAATATCACATCCCAATCTTTAAGCCGTTCACCATGCCTTAACTTAATCGCAATGGGTTGCGTGTGTATTGATTGTAATTCTATAAGGGAAATAGGCGGCTATGCCCTCGCCTCCAATGTTTTATTCAACCATGCCCTCTTTATAGAAACACATGCGATATACATGCAGTAAACCTTCAGTAAACATTCAGTAAACCGTCAATAAACCTCAATAAAACTTCAATAAACATTTCCCATCTGCAATGCTATAAAAACTTCCTATTGGTTCCGTACCGCCCATCGGGTTTGAATCCCTCTTTCCTTTATAATCGGTTAATAAATTCGTTGATTTTCTTTATTTTATTGGTCTTGGGCAACTCAGTAGCATAAAAGTAATGTATATTGGTGCATCTATATTGCTTGTCTATTGCATCTATATTGCTTGTCTATTGCGAGCATAGCGTACATTTATTGCGTGTGTATTGATTGTTTATTGCTTACGAAGGAAATAAACAACAATACACAGGCAACAGACAAGCAATATACACGCAATACACATGCAATCTATACGCAATAGACATGCAATATACATCAGTCCCTAATTTCACCATCCATAAGGGAGTCGTATCGATTAGGAAATTCTACTGAATAGTTGTTCTTCCTACCAATAAACCTTCAATAAACATTCAATATCGGACAATAACATGCGAAATACATGCAGTAAACAATCAATAAACCTTCAATAAACATCCAATATCCGATAAATAACATGCGATACACATGCAGTAAACAATCAATAAACCTTCAATAAACATCCAATATCCGATAAATAACATGCGATACACATGCAGTAAACAATCAATAAACCTTCAATAAACATCCAATATCCGATAAATAACATGCGATACACATGCAGTAAACAATCAATAAACCTTCAATAAACATCCAATATCCGATAAATAACATGCGATACACATGCAGTAAACAATCAATAAACCTTCAATAAACATCCAATATCCGATAAATAACATGCGATACACATGCAGTAAACAATCAATAAACCTTCAATAAACATCCAATATCCGATAAATAACATGCGATACACATGCAGTAAACAATCAATAAACCTTCAATAAACATCCAATATCCGATAAATAACATGCGATACACATGCAGTAAACAATCAATAAACCTTCAATAAACATCCAATATCCGATAAATAACATGCGATACACATGCAGTAAACAATCAATAAACCTTCAATAAACATCCAATATCCGATAAATAACATGCGATACACATGCAGTAAACAATCAATAAACCTTCAATAAACATCCAATATCCGATAAATAACATGCGATACACATGCAGTAAACAATCAATAAACCTTCAATAAACATCCAATATCCGATAAATAACATGCGATACACATGCAGTAAACAATCAATAAACCTTCAATATACATCCAATATCCGAGCAATAACATGCGATATACATACAGTAAACAATCAATAAACCTTCAATAAACATCCAATATCCGATAAATAACATGCGATACAGATGCAGTAAACAATCAATAAACCTTCAATAAACATCCAATATCCGATAAATAACATGCGATACACATGCAGTACACAATCAATAAACCTTCAATAAACATCCAATATCCGATAAATAACATGCGATACACATGCAGTACACAATCAATAAACCTTCAATAAACATCCAATATCCGATAAATAACATGCGATACACATGCAGTACACAATCAATAAACCTTCAATAAACATCCAATATCCGATAAATAACATGCGATACACATGCAGTACACAATCAATAAACCTTCAATAAACATCCAATATCCGATAAATAACATGCGATACACATGCAGTACACAATCAATAAACCTTCAATAAACATCCAATATCCGATAAATAACATGCGATACACATGCAGTACACAATCAATAAACCTTCAATAAACATCCAATATCCGATAAATAACATGCGATACACATGCAGTACACAATCAATAAACCTTCAATAAACATCCAATATCCGATAAATAACATGCGATACACATGCAGTACACAATCAATAAACCTTCAATAAACATCCAATATCCGATAAATAACATGCGATACACATGCAGTACACAATCAATAAACCTTCAATAAACATCCAATATCCGATAAATAACATGCGATACACATGCAGTACACAATCAATAAACCTTCAATAAACATCCAATATCCGATAAATAACATGCGATACACATGCAGTACACAATCAATAAACCTTCAATAAACATCCAATATCCGATAAATAACATGCGATACACATGCAGTA